TCATGTTCAAGAAATCAGTCTGAATTTTGAATAACCATCTTAATTGGAACTAATGAGCCCAAAGTGTGCCGAGAAAATATCCCTTACACCATTAAACCACCACCAGCAGCATGAACCGTTGATAAAAGGCAGGATGCTCAAAATTTCCATGCTCAAAAGTTCCATGCTCAAAATTTGACTCAAAATGTGGAACCTACTGTACCATCCGAATGTCACAGCAGAAATCGAGACTCATCAGACCAGGCTACGTTTCTCCAATCTTCTATTGTCCAATTTTGGTGAGCCTGTGTGAATTGTAGCCACATTTTCTGTTCTTAACTGACAGAGGTGGCACCCTGTGTCATCTTCTGCTGCTGTAGCTCATCTGCCTCAAGGTACGATGTGTTCAGAGATGCTTTTCTGCACACCTTGGTTGTAACGAGTGGTTATTTGAGTTACTGTTGCCTTTCTATCAGCTGAAACCAGTCTGGCCATTCTCCTCTGACATCAACAAGGCATTTGCGCCCACAGAACTGCCAATCACTGGATATTTTCTCTTTTTCTGGATCATTCTCTGTAAACCCTAGAGATGGTTGTGCGGGAAAATCCCAGTAGATCAGCAGTTTCTGAAATACTCAGACCAGCCCGTCTGGCATCAACAACCATTCCACGTTCAAAGTCACTTAAATCACCTTTCTTCCTCATTCTGATGCTCGGTTTGAACTTCAGTAGATCGTCTTGACCATGTCTACATGCCTAAATGCATAGATCGATTGGCCATGTGATTAGAAATTTGTGTTAATGAGCAGATGAACAGGTGAACCTAACAAAGTGGCCGGTGAGTGTATAATGCTATATACAAACAATTTCACCAAATGACTTGAATTCCTCTATATGGAAACAATGAATGAATTTTCTATTGATTGGCATGCTGCTGTAGGGGAACAGATCATGCACAGAATGTAATAAATTACAAGTATAGCTAAATGCAATAGAGCAAACATAAAAGTAAAATAAACAGTACTTTATGGATTTCAGGCTAGACAAATCATATTCAGGTAAAAAAAATAGCAATGCAAAGACTTAACTGTTGAAACAGTTCCAAAAATGATTCTTTATAAACGTTACAAAGGTAAAATTGCTTGTGTGTGAATGCCTTATAACTGCATTGGGCACCCCTGCTCAAATCGATATATTGTGCAGCCGTAACAACTACTACATACATATGAAAATACTATGAGTAAATTTAGATTTCATGATGACTTTAACATTTGATCACCACCTAAACATGAATGACCCATGCATGAGTGAGATTTCGTAAATGCATTATGTTGCACAATGCATGAGAAAACTGTAATTACACACACAAAAAATGAAATTCAAACAGAAGGAAGACATTTTGACATTTATTACAGCAGCAAAAGAAAGTAAAGCAGTGACAGACATAACAGCATTGAGACGGTTTCTGCGGTGGAAGTGTCAACAGTGCCAAACATCAGACTTTAAGAACCACTAAACGGACACTCATGGAAACAACAAACAATGTTGACCACTCCACCTCAGATCTCAGGATCAGAAAGACAGGACACAAAACATGAGCTTCATCTAATCAGACTGTACCATGACGCCTGATGTCTGTTTCACAGTCACACGGAGAACGAACAGATGGACAGAATCAGCCAAATGGACAGGAAAAGACAGAGGAGACCGAAAGAGTGTTTAGAGGGTGGTCATGTCGTTAAGAGCCAGATCCAGCTCCTCGCTGAGGGCTTTACCCTTCAGTTTCTGAGCGTACACCTCATCTGTACATCATTCCAGACGAGCAGAGAGAAGACCAACAAAGGACAGAACCGACAATGAGCAGAAAAAGACAAAACAACAGTGTGAGATGACAACAACGCCTGCATGTCTGCACAACATGCCATCAGTATGAAATCTTGGTTAGAAAGCATAAACGTCAGGCTCACTTGTCTCGATCAAGCTGCCTGAAATGAAACTCCATGCACTTAATCCCACGAAACATGCTCTCACGTGTCGTCTATTTATTCACTGTTCATATAAGGTGTCAGTCAACACGCCAATAAACAGATGACATGCAGTCCAGTCCATTAAAAACACAACAGATCCATCTGCCAAAAGGCACACAAGGCCTTTGCCACTTCAAGCAATGTTAGTATATTACAACCAGCTCAAACAATGCAAAACTGTGTTTTCTATTACTCTTTTTGGTTTGAAAAAAGGAAAGAAACAGAGCTGTGTCAAAAACAATTGTTGGAGAAATCAATTCTGCATTTTTCAAAATGCATCGATTCGCAATTCTCTCTTGAATCATTTCAGAGTAGTTAAGAACTAGCCTAGAGTGTAATCTGCTGGTAAAAAAACAGCTAAAGTGCCCTATAAAAACTAGCCTAGAGCACCATCTGTTGTTAACAACTAGCCTAGAGCACCATCTGCAGCAAAAAACTAGCCTAGAGCCTCATCTGCTGATAAAAAGTAGCCTAGCATGTCTTCTTCAGTTAAAAACTAGCCTAGATTGCCATCTGCTAATAAAAACAAGCCTAGAGCACTGTCTGCTTTAAAAAAAAGTCTAGAGCGCCATCAACAGTTAGAAACTAGCCTAGAGCGCTGTTTATAATAATTAGCCTAAAGCACTGTCTGTTGTTAAAAAAAGCCTAGGGTGCTGTCTGTTAAAAACTAGCCTAGAGCACCGTCTGTTGATAATAATTAGTCTAGAGCGTTGTCTGTTGTGAAAAAAACTAGCTTAGAGAGCCACCTACAGTTGAAAACTAGCCTAAAGCACCGTCTGTTGATAATAATTAGCCTAGAGTGCTGTCTGTTGTTAAAAATTAGACTAGGGTAATCTGTTGATAATAATTAGCCTAGAGCGCTGTCTGCTGTTAAAAACTAGCTTTAAACACTGTCTGTTGATAATAATTAGTCTAGAGCGCTGTCTGTTGTTAAAAAAACTAGCCTAGGGTCATCTGTTGATAATAATTAGCCTACAGCACAGCCTGTTGTTATAAACTAGCATAAAGTTCAGTCTCTCGATAAGAATTAGCCTAGAGTGCTGTTGTTAAAAACTAGCCTAAAGCTCCGTCTCTTGATAAAAATGAGCCTACAGTGCTGCTGTTAAGAACTAACCTAAAGCTCTGTCTGTCGATAATAACTAGCCAAGAGTTTGTGGTTAAAAACTAGCCTAAAGCACCGTCTGTTGATAAGAATTAGCCTAGAGCGCTGTCTGATGTTAAAAACTAGCCTAAAGCTCCGTCTGTTAAAAAGATTTAGCCTACAGCGATGTCTGGTGTTTTAAATTAGCCTCTGTCTGTTGATAATATTTAGCCTAGAGTGTTGTCTTTTGATAATAATTAGCCTAGAGCGCCATCTGCTATTAAAAACAAGCATAGCGCTGTCTGCTGTCAAAGATTAGCCTAGAGTGCCATCTGCAGTTAAGAACTAGCTTAGTGTTATCTGATGCAAAAAACTGACATCTGCTGTTAATAACTAGCCTAAAATGTTGACTGTTGGTAAAAAGTACCCTGGAGCGCCATCTGCAGTTAAAAACTAGCCTAGAGTGTTGTCTTTTGATAATAATTAGCCTAGAGCGCCATCTGCTATTAAAAACAAGCATAGCACTGTCTGCTGTCAAAGATTAGCCTAGAGCGCCATCTGCAGTTAAGAACTAGCCTACTGTCATCTGATGCAAAAAAAAAAACTGACATCTGCTGTTAATAACTAGCCTAAAATGTTGACTTGTTAAAAATTACCCTGGATCGCCATCTGCAGATAAAAACTAGCCTAGAGTGCAGTCTGTAGATAATAATTAGCCTGGAGCACTTTTTGTAGTTAAAAACTAGCCCAGAGTGCCGTCTGCTGTTAAAAACTAGCCTAAAGCACCATCCGTTTATAATAATTAGCTTAAAGCTCTGTCTGTTGTTAAAAACTAGCCTAGAGCACTGTCTGTTGAAAACAATTAGCCTAGCAAGACGTCTACTGTTAAAACCTAGCCTAAAACACCACCTGTTGTTAAAAACTAGCCTAGATCGACGTCTGCTCGTAAAAACCAGACTAGAGCACCACCTGCAGTTTAAAACTAGCCTATTGCGCCATCTGCTGTTAAAAACTAGCCTAGAGTGTTGTCTTTTGATAATAATTAGCCTAGAGCGCCATCTGCTATTAAAAACAAGCATAGCGCTGTCTGCTGTCAAAGATTAGCCTAGAGCGCCATCTGCAGTTAAGAACTAGCTTAGTGTCATCTGATGCAAAAAAAAACTGACATCTGCTGTTAATAACGAGCCTAAAATGTTGACTTGTTAAAAATTACCCTGGAGCGCCATCTGCAGTTAAAAACTAGCCTAGAGTGCAGTCTGTTGATAATAATTAGCCTAGAGCACTGTTTGTAGTTAAAAACTAGCCCAGAGTGCCGTCTGCTGTTAAAAACTAGCCTAAAGCACCATCCGTTTATAATAATTAGCTTAAAGCTCTGTCTTTTAAGTTAAAAACTAGCCTAGAGCACTGTCTGTTGAAAACAATTAGCCTAGCAAGACGTCTACTGTTAAAACCTAGCCTAAAACACCACCTGTTGTTAAAAACTAGCCTAGAGTGCTCTGTCGTTAAAAACTAGTCTAGATCGACGTCTGCTTGTAGAAACCAGACTAGAGCGCCACCTGCAGTTTAAAACTAGCCTATTGCGCCATCTGCTGTTAAAAACTAGTCTAAAGTGTCATCTACTGTTAAAAACTAGCCTAGAGCATCATTTGTTTTTAAAGACTTGCCTAAAGTGCCATCAGCTGTTGAACTAAGCTGAGAATTGATCAAAGGGAGAATAGCGATGTGTTTAGAAAAATATCTGAATCTACACATAACCAATTCAACTTATTTTTGGCCAGAGCTATAAAAAGAAATTGAACTTAGAATGGCACACTGGAGTGAGGCAACAACACCACTAATACACACAAGTTCACTGTCGTTATTGGTCATTAGTAAAATATTTACAGGCAGAATCATGAATGTTGAAGTCGTACCTTCTAAATCATCAATGGTCTTCTCAAGCTTCGCCACAGACCTCTCAGCAAACTCAGCACGTGTTTCAGCCTAGAGAAATAAAAACCAACATATTCTTATGAAACAATTAGAACAAGATGGAAACGTCTGATACTAAACAGCAATTAAAAAATGGAAGTTCTTCTCTTCAATTGTTTTAGGACTTCCAATTTACTTCATATGGCAACAAAGACTAGACTGTAACAAACAGCAATCCACAAACGAGTGCACTTGAGGAAAATGGCAGTTAGTAAAATAAAGCACTATAACACATTTTTTTGCAGCTATAAATCTACGAACAGGGAATGAAAGCAATAGTCTCGAGGCAATAACGTTGCAATGGCTGAGCTCACTCTTACGTAAAACAATAATGTCAATTTGTAAGGTATAATTAAGGAAATACTGATGACTTATTAGATTAATAATGCACATCTGAGGTAGTGTTGCAGCCATGATGGGAAGCATCAGGCTTAAGTACACATCAGGTGCTCTTTATTTTATAATTATTCAATGGACCAGAGTCAATTACACTCCTGAGCAAAATCTTAAGAGAGGGGGAAACATTCCAAGTATTCTCATTTTGCACTGAAGGTGCAATGAGGTTTTAAGTACTAGGCATAGGCTGGTATAAAATTCTGACGCTATGATAAGGTATACCTTGATGATGAAGTATACCCTGAACACGGTTATTGTCCCATGCCTAGCAAGTACTGCTTTGAAATGCCAAATGAAGACACAGGTGCAACACGTAAAATAACAGAGAATAGGCAATTACATGAAAATTGCATTTAAACTCAAACAGGCTCAAATCAGCAGAACAAAAATTTAGGACCATAGCCTTAAAAAGGTAAATTCTGTGCAAAACTGGCTTTGCTGTAATTTCGGCCTGCAACACTCTCATGATCTCTAGATGGCAAAGGCAAAAAGGCTTTCTCTCTTTAAATGTGGCAGGATTGTTAAGCTGCACAAGCAAGGGCCCTCACAGCGCATCATTGCTGCCGAAGTTGGATGCAGTAAGACAGTCATTTTAAATGTCTTAAAAGATCCTGAGCGTTAAGGGACAAATAAGTAAAGTGGTAGACCCAAAAAACTGCCAAAACAAGACACAGGCAGATCCTCAAACTAAATTAAGGCCCTTACCGATGCTGACTGTAGCCCAATAACCATAAAATGACATCTTTGAGAGAAGAGCTTAAAGAACAAAAAACGTCATTAAAGGTCACGTCTTCTCCCACACCACAAACTTACCCGTTTGGAATTTGCAAGGGAGCACCAAACATGGGACATTGTTCTCTGATGAAAAAACAAAAATTAACCTGGATGGTCCACAGATTCCACAGGAGATGTTTTCAGGACGGCACAGGGGTGGAGGCTCTATCTTGATCTGGGCTGCTTTTTTCTTCAATGGTAAAATTGAGCTTCAAGTTGAGCAGCGGATTTGAACAGCTGCAGTGGGCATCCCTCTTGACTGAGAGCCCTCGTCTGTGCAGTAATGACTGAATCTTTTCACAGGACAATCCTGCAATTCACAATGCCTTCTGACAAAATGCTTCTTCCAGGAGAAAAAAAAAATGCTCTTTTGAACCATCCTGCTTGCTCCCCTGATTTAAATCCCATCATTTGGGGATGGATGGCAGGGGAAGTTTACAAAAACGGACGCCAGTTCCAGACCGTAGGTGAACTTCTTGAAGCTTTCTTAACCAAAAAGTGATCAACAAGAATGGAGGTATTACTCACTACAGAGTAATTTTTGACAATTTCAATTCCATTCAATACTATTTTCGTGTTTTTTGCCTATGGTCCTAAATTTGAGCCTGTTTGAGTTTAAATGCTTTCTGCAATAAATTTCCTATTCACTGTTTTTTGACTTCTGCACCCGTGTCTTCTTTGGGTATTTTAAAGCAGTACTTACACTCGGATTATGATCTACCAGTGCTAAATGTGAATACCTATAATGTTTCCCCGGTCTTAAGATTTTGTTCAGAAGTGCATACTACAGTTACCACATCTAAAGACACACTTGCATTTTAAGAAATGTTTCAGGCGTTTCTCTTCAAACAGCTCCTGTGTGTACTACTACTTACTTTCACATCTTACCCAAAGCCTTTTGTTTTATTTGCCATTTATTTTATTTTTCTATTTTTTATCTGATTTTTGACAGTTAAAATGAATCATTAAACTGTGAACTATAATATGGCCAAACCTGCCTTGAACTACTTTAGTTGTGAGATTATTTAAAAATAATGGCACACCTTAAAATGTAAGAACCAGTCATTCAACAGCCCAGTAGCGTAATTAACTATAAAACATGATACACATTTGATTAATTTGTCAAACACTTTTTTACTCAGGCATGCTCAATTCTCTATTCACACTGAATTATTCAAAAGGTAGCTAAAACTGAATAATTTTATAGTTCACTCACATACTGAAAAGAAAAATGTATCCTATTTCAAGTAGGTATCACTGCAGCCTGGAGACCTCCAAATGGGAGGTAATACACCACAAGTAGATTGGCTCACCTCCAAGTGAGAGGGACTTGCGCCACAGGTGGGCTGGGTTTAGGTGGTGTAAGTGGAGTAGACATTAATAAGACACATAAGGTTACTGTAAAGTTGGATTTAGGGTTGGGGTAGGGTGTAGATATTTATAAAGCACAATATTGGACTCAGTTTCATGTACAAATAAGATAAATCCAGTGGTCAAATCCTGCTTCTTTCAGCTTCGACTTTTTGAAAAAATAATCCATGCTTTTATTACCACTAGATTGGACTATTGTAACTCGCTATACTTTGGGATTAGTCAGATAACCTTATCCCGGCTACAATCAGTTCAAAATGCTGCTGCAAGGCTTTTAACAGGTACCAAGAAACATGATCACATTACACCAGTTTTACGCTCTTTGTACTGGTTGCCTGTGAACTATTGAGTCACTTTTAAAATCTTGGTTTTTAAATCTCTAAATGGACTAGCACCTTTTTTATCTGTCAGACATGTTAATTCAGCATCAGCCTGGTCGGTCTCTTCGGTCATCTAACCAGAGACTGTTATGCATCCCTAAGTTGAGGCTGAAATGCAGAGGTGGCTGTGCCTTTGCAGTAGCTGGTCCTAAGTTGTGGAATGCTCTGCCCCTCTGTATTAAGCCTGGTTTATACTCTGTTTTTTGGCTTCTGCACCCGTGTCTTCTTTGGGTATTTTAAAGCAGTACTTACACTCGGATTATGATCTACCAGTGCAAAATATGAATACCTATAATGTTTCCCCGGTCTTAAGATTTTGTTCAGGAGTGTATACTACAGTTACCACCTCTAAAGACACAATTGCATTTTATTAAGTATTAAGCCTGGTTTATACTTCTGCGTCAAGTGACCGGCGTGACCCACGGCGCATGCAACGCACGTGGCTGTGCATTTATACTTCTGCTCGCTGTCTCTGTTGGTCTGCATTACACTTCCGAAACGCTAGTTGGCAGTGAGGTGTAAATGTTCATCTGTGTCGAGTTTGTTCTCTGGATCCTCTGTGTCTTCACTTCCTGGATGTACAAGTGGCTCAAACTCGCACATTTTGAGGCAGGAACCGGCGGATGTGCAAGAACTTTAACTATGAGGTAAACACAAAACATAACTTTCCATCCGGAGCTCCTTCACGGAACTCCACACTTGTAAACAATCGCTCCATTGGGGTTGCGTCCAGCTCGCGCCATTCACGCGGCTCTCTGTCCCGCCCAGACTCGTCAGCGCTACCAAGCCGACCAATCACAGAGCTTGCGATACGCGTCGTTGCGACGTGTAGTTTCAATTTTTGAGAGGTGCACGTCAGCGACGCCGACGGCCACGGTGAAGGGCTATGCGTCAGCGCCGTAGCATACGCCGGCGTTTGACGCAGAAGTATAAATCAGCCATTAGGTTTCATCCCTGTCTGTTTTTAAATCTAGGTTAAAACTTACCACTTTCATTTGGCATTTTATAAGTAAAAATGGTCAGTTTTAGCAATAATTTTATATTTGTTTTTTCTCCGTTTTGATTTGTACTGTGCAGCACATTGGTCAACCTCTGGTTGTGTTAAACAGTGCTATATAAACAAAATTGATATTGACAAGACATTAAATAAATAAGTCCCACTTGAAGCTCAAGTCCTACTCACTTGAAGCTAGCCCGGACCTCCGTTTATACCCTTCTCTCCTATCTTGATCTTTGATGTTTTATACTATTTTATTTTTGCCCAACAAATCCAGAAACATTTCATAAAGCTTAAAATCATGTTTTAAATAGGGGTCAACTTCAATGCCCTACAGTGATCCAGTGAAACTCAAACTCACCTCTTTGAGTTTGTCGGTGAGTACTCTGATTTCCTCTTCATATTTGTCTTCCTTTGTGGAGTACTGGAGAATAAATGGGGGAAAAACAATAAATGATGCACCCATCACTGTGTCAAAGTCAAGAGCTTTTCTTGCGATAAACAAGCCTTTGAAGATGAAAGATAAAGAGTGGCTTTAGATATCACTCAACAAGGTCTACAACCTACTACAGAATACTAAAATACATGACACAGTCTGAAATCAGAAGAAGAACAGCTTTGGCAACAGAGATGGCTGTGAAGTCAATGAGTATGAGAAATTTAATTTGCTTAGCTAAGAAAAATTATTTTAAAAACTGGCTTGTTTCACCTTGCATGAGGCCTGTCACGATTTCTATTTTTTTGGATGAAATATTGCACCAAACATTATTGCGATACATGATATTAATCGCTGTTAAGACATTATAATAGCCTCATAATCCAAGTACACTGTCATAGAACACTCAATATTTTATTTTCATGAATAATTTCATAGAATTGCAGCAATTGTAATTAATCAATGACAATTTAATAATGAGGGCGACGCAGTGGCGCAGTAGGTAGGGTTGTCGCTGATTTGAGCTTCGGCTGTCTCAGTTGGCATTTCTGTGTAGAGTTTGCATGTTCTCCCTGCATTCACGTGGGTTTCCCCCACAGTCCAAAAACATGCGGTGCAGGTGAATTGGGTTGGCTAAATTGTCCGTATAGTGAATGAGTGTGTGTGTGGATGTTTCCCAGAGATGGGTTGCGGCTGGAAGGGCATCAGCTGCATAAAAACGTGCTGGATAAGAGACCCCGGATTAATAAAGGGACTAAGCGGAAAATGAATGAATGGATTTAATAATGAAGAATTGGCATCAGAATATGAAAATATATATCCTAAACAAATAAATAACAATAACAAATGTTAACAAAAAAGTGGAAGGTAATAAGAAGTAGGAAAAAAAGTTATATTTTTAAACAAAATCATTTTAGACAGAGTACTGTACTACTTTAGAGTAAATTCAATAGTGATTGTATTTAACTATAATGAAACCTCCAATATAGATTGGATGTATTCAGAGGCTGCATAATCAGCTAAAATCTTTCTTACATTGGTTTTTATGTATGCATTACATATCGCATCACCAAAATATAATTAAGGTAATGTTCATGTGTTGTGCGATACGTTGATTATGATTACTGTGACAGGCCTACCCCTGCATACAAGGGAATCTCAATTTCATCCTCAAACAATTTTTTTTGCACAAAGAATAAACAAATACTGGCAGCCCTAATGAAAGAATAAATAGTGATTCCGACTTAAAAGTGAGCATCATTTGGACTGGGCTGTGACGAACTACATGTACTCTGCCTACCTTCTCTGCCTGAGCTTCCAGGGACTTCAAATTGTTGGTGACATTTTTCAACTCTTCTTCAAGGTCACCAGATTTGCTGTACCAAATCAAGGATGCAGGAAAAGAAAGGCAAAGGAGAGGAGAAAAAGAGCACTTAGAGAAGACGGGAAAGGCAGCAGTTTAGCTAAAGAGACCCCAACTTGAATGAAATGATGAGGTGATTCTGGCTGTAATCGGGGAAAATTTAAAGCTACGAGTGCACGGTAAAATTGTAAATGTCTTAAATTTTTACTCACAAAGCAATTTACTAAATAATGTCTATGTAAGGGATATATATATATATATATATATATATATATATATATAAAATATAATAACGGCAGGCTAAAATGACAAGTTAAATGATGACTCCACTGAGCATTACGGTTCAGTACAATGCTGTATGATACACATTTTTGTTTCCACCATCAATGTACTAAAATAATAAACTGCACTGTACTACTTTTCTGTGACCCTTTCATAAGGTTACTTAATACGGTACTACAGTACCAAAAAGGTGGAGCTAGACTCGAAGAACAGCACAGAAAGTGCACCATTTTTAAATACACAGCCGAAACACACACCATTATGTGGCCATGAACTATGGTCATCCCAAGCTCAAACCAATTTAGTCTCTTTCTTAAAACTGTGCCTACGTGATTCAGCAAACACTTGCCTTCATCAGGGTAATGATACTACCATGTTACCCTGATGAAGTGTTTGCCAAAAAGTGTGGCTACAATTTTAAGCAATAGCCTTGTCAATGAAGGCTTTTAATGTTTTTTCCACAATTTTCAAGTGCCTTGGACTTACTTTTGCACAAGTTCTTACCCAAAGAGCACATCCACATTAATTAACAGGGTATATTCAGGAATCCTAAAGATAATTTCAATACCTTTTAAGACTTTTTAAAAGACCTTCTCAAAATATGTTAAGACCTCGTCGCCACTTCAAGTTCTAATCAGTATCAAACCTTTAACTTAATAAACAGTTGTTAATAAACGGTTGTAGTTAAATAAATCAATGAAGCACAACCATGCAACAGAACTCCGATAAGCTCAGGAGAAACAAAGCTTGAAAAATAATTTACGCGGTTGTTTTCAGCAACAGGCTTTAGCCACTGTTTAAATTGGTCTTTCTCCAAGCAGGAGTACGCAAACTTACATTTTCTCATTTTGCCATCTGATTGGCTCTGTGGTTTTGCTACACGAGTCACCTTTTTGCATTTGAAGCAAATGATGTTACATCTAAGATGCTACAGACAGCCTATAACAAATGACACACAGCCCCATGGCGGATGCGCGCACTCTCTCACTCTCTTTCAGGAACAAATATTGGAATATTGTTGACCGCCCGCTCCCGTTCGAATTACACCAGAGTTACCGACCGCTACCACGCTTATATATTTATGATTTATGCTGAGTCAAACACTTTGGACAACGCTTGAACAAAATTCAAGACCTCGTAAAACACGATTAAGACTTTTAAATACCTTTTAAAGGCTTTAATTTTCTCATTGATTTATCAATTTTTAATACTTTAAGACCCCGCGGACACCCTGATTAAGCTACCTCTGAGCACTTTTTATTTCATTATTAATTTTGTCTCTTCTTGTGAAAATAGCCACAGAAGCAAGAACGGAATCTGCTGTATGTCCTCTATTGTTGTTTACGAGGCCGTTCACATTACATTTAAATATGTAGAAAGCTCAAGAGGAGCCACTTCCTCACTATTCGCATGTGCTTGTTGTGCATCTACATTTAAAATAATAAACTTGAGTACGCAAAAGAAGCAATAATGTAAACAAAATGAAGAAAGCCACGCATTTCTGCCATACACCATGACTATAAAGTAACATCCTGTTGTTGGCAGTGGAAACGCAAGCAAGATCAGGGTGATCCATACTGAACTATACCATACTGTACTATACTGAACCGTACCGTGCCACTCAGTGGAAACAAGACATAATGAACACAAGAATTTACATCCTTCAAAGTGACAAGCATTTCAATTCCTTTTCATGAAAGTTACATAAGAGAAATAGTTAAAAACGTGGTGCTGCCCAAGGTTCTAGTTGAGGCCCCTTTTCCTTTAGCATTTGATCTGCAGAAGAATAAAGCCGAGATGAGCAGCAGAGGAGGTCACAGATCTCCGAAAGAGAGGAAAAGTCAACAGAAGCTGGCGCAAGCGTGCTACATTAGTTTCTCAGTGGTACCTCTTCCTCTCCAGCCATCATGGATTTCAAATTCTGGTCCATGAGTCTAAGTTCCTCCTCCAGCTGCCTGACACGACTTGGTTAGTCCAAAATGGGCCAGTAGGGGGAAGGGAGGTAATGGGGGGAGTCACAGGACATGATCAATGGAGCATGCATTTGGAAGACAGGGGAATAACCACAATCAGAAACCTTGCTGTTGTTAACTGATCCAGAGTACTTTTCTGTTACTTAAAGAGATAATTCACCCAAAAATGTCTTCCTCATTTACCCACACTCAATTTTTAGATTCAATACAAGGCCATATAGACGAATTCAATGTGGTGATGTCATTGACCCATGAACATTTCCTGCGTGTTGTCAAACTATTTCATATCTGTAAGATGGGATAATTTAATCATAACTTGATTGTATAACAGCTATCGTAACATTACTTATCAATATGTGGAATTTTCTGGACTCTCAGAAGCTATGGAAATTTAAAATGTAAAACAGGATATACATCAGGACTATTGTTGTTGTTTACATCCCTCAAAATGGTCTGTATGCTTGGAACATGACAAGGAGGTGGAGTCACAGGAACTGGGGCGTGTACGGCATGTCTGGACCTGCCTCCCATGAAGTGACATGACTCCGCCCCATTTCAAATCAGGGCCAGAAAGACAAAAGCACAGAAATGTGAAGTGCAAAAAGAAAACAGCATCGCAATCTCACGGTTGACTGAAGAGCAAATCAAAATGAGCATTGCAATTGACTTGAGAGGTTTTGTAAAAAAGCAATACTGGGAAAAAAAATGTTTTGCAAATATGTGTATACATTTTAAAATTTCAAATAGTAAATTTCTTTTTTTGCACTACTTGATTTTTATCTGCAGTCCTTTATTTTTGTTTGAAAAATTCATTTTTATTTCTCAAAACTCAATTTTCCCTTTGCAATTTTTTGAGATTTTCATTATTAATTTTTTTTGTTCATTTCTTTATTTTTTGTTTGCAAAACTTTCTTTTATGTTGCAAATATATGGCTCTGGATTGACTTCATAAATCTTTATTGAATTTCTTTTTTTCTGTTGAACACGAAACAAGATAATATGAACATTGTTGGGGGGAAAAAAAAGCTGTAAACGAGGACATTGAATTACAATAAATAATAATTTAAATAATAAATAAAAATAAATAATTATTAAAATATTTTTTTTAAGAATTGTTGGGTGAACTATCCCTTTAAGAAAAGCACATTTGCAGCAGCTGAAGTCTTCGGAAATCCCAAATAACTTCCATTATTGAACGGTAAGTTCACTAATTGCAGCTTAGTTATTAATTACTGCCACCACAGGTATGAATATCAAATGCAGTTATAAATAAAACATTGCAGTTAATTCAATTTTGTTAATTGCACACTTGTAAGGAATATAACTATGAATCAAATGCAAGTTTGAAGGTTTTTACACCTTTCCATTGTGTTAGTTATAGTCTATGTCTGCGCATTGTGGAGACAAAAAACAGAATCAGTAACAAATATCAGTGACAGTAAAAGGTTACTGGTGTGTTTATGGAACAATGCAATGAAACCCAATCTTTACTAAACAGTTCGATTATGATTTGTGTGTACTCACGCCTCAGCCACTTCAGCTCGTTCCTCAGAGCGCTCAAGCTCGCCCTCAAGAATCACCAGCTTGCGTGCCACCTGAAGTCAGAAAATACACAAAAACAAACACAATTTTACAGATACATATACATATCAATAATATGTAAAGTAAAGTTGTGAAGAACAAGATTAATCCCCAATAATTAATAATGCTGAGAAATCAAACTCCCACAACACTATAACAACAAAAATGTAAATGTATTCTGGAAAATAATACATATTTAAAATGAATTTTAAGTAAACATGACTAAATTATTGTAAGATGCTTATGGTTTTAGCTTATTTATATTTTTATTTAATTCTAAACCTGGAAAATAATGTCCTTACTATCTACTGTGAACTTTCTGAACTATAGACAAAATTTATATTTTAAGCGCATTGTCTTTTAATAACTAAAGAAAAACCTTAAAGGTGTGAAAACATTGTAAAGCCCGGCTCACTGTGCATTTGTTCATCTGAGAAAATTTAAAAAAATGCTAAAATCTGTGATCTTTAATAGTTGACATGTTCACCGACAGCAGAATAATGCTTTTTCTGGTTTAATATCAATGCATATTATGATTAAGATGAATGCTACAGACTGTTCGTATTAACATTTAACAGTTATAGTCATTTATCATTTCAGTTAATGAGCGTGTCATGGATTGATGACGTCAAAGTCCACATGAATCTTGTGTGTGTGTGTGTGTGTGTGTGTGTGTGTGTTTGCCATGTCTTGATTTCCGTTCAATCTTACATTATGACAGCTGAAATCTTACAGTGTGACAAGGGGATCATATTCATACAATCTGACATGCTACAATAGTTTTGGGTTATTAACAAGCCCACAGTTTGAGCCAGGCTCGATATAAAGTTGAAGTCAGAATTATTAGCGCCACTGTTTATTTTTTTCAGCAATTTAAGTTTAAGGGAGAGAAGATTGTTTAATGCATTTCTAAACATAATAGTTTTAATAACTCATCTCCAATAACTGATTTATTTTATTTTTGTCATGATGACAGTAAATAATATTTGATTAGATATTTTATAAGACACTGCTAAACAGCTTAAAAAGACATTTAAAGGGGCTTAACTAGGTTAATAAGGTTAACTAGGCAGGTTAGGGTAACTAATTAGGCAAGTTATTATTCTGAAGACTATCGCAAAAAAAAAAAATCTTAAAGGGGCTAATAGTTTTGATCTTAAAATGTTTAAAAAAAAATTTAAAACTGCTTTTATTCTAGCTGAAATAAAACAAATAAGACTTTATACAGAAGAAAAAATATTATTAGACATACTGTGAAAATGTCCTTGCTCTGTTAAATATCATTTGGGAAATATTTAAAAAAAGGGGGAAAAAATAATAATAAAAGGAGGGCTAATAAATCTGATTTCAACTGTATAGTTACTGAGATATAAACCATTTATGTCGTATCATTTTGGTTATACCACCTACAGGGCAAAACTTGAATATATGGTTTTGTTATAAAAATCTTCATTTAAAATCAGTCATTGGGTGAGGTGAAAGTGTCCGGGATCCCCACCTCCTCATATTTGCGGTCAGCCTCCTCAGCGATGTGTTTGGCCTCCTTCAGCTGCATCTCCTGGATCTCCATCTTCTCCTCATCTTTTGTTGCTCTGTTTTCTATCACCTTCATTCCTCTGCATGAAAGAAAATCACATGGTCAGCATTACACTCAGGCAATTCCATCAAAGGCCACACACAACAGGTTCATAGTATTTCCTCATGATTCTTGAAGGCTTTGTTCACACAGCACTCCAGTTGACCAACCAAGAAACTAACTATTAATTTGTTTAGCCACTGTCCACTTCAGCCATCCATTACTCAAACGACTTGATATTTAGTGTCCCATAAAGGTATTTATCCATTTATTTATTGTTTGTCCCAATGTCAGCAAAATCGCCCAATCGTTTTAACAAATTTTTGTTACTAATTTCCTTCGCCTTTTCCATAATGACAGTACATAGTATTTTAACAGTTATTTCGCAAGATAGTAGTGTTCAGTGTAAAATTAAATTTAAAGGCTTAACTGGGCAAGTTTGGTTAATTTGGGAAGTCATTATACAACAGTGCTTTGTTCTGTAGTCAATTTTAAAACAAATAAAATCCTTGAAAGGGAAAATAACATTGACCTTAGCAGTTTTTACATTTAATATACATGTTTTTATCCCAGAAATAAGAAAAGAAATAAGACTTTCTAAATTCCAACATTAATATTTTACATGAAATATTGTATAATACAGGGTGATGCAATGGCGCAGTAGGTAGTGCTGTCACCTCACAGCAAGAAGGTCGCTGATTCGAGCCTCGGCTGGGTCAGTTGGCGTTTCTGTGTGGAGTTTGCATGTTCTCTCTGTGTTCGCGTGGGTTTCATCCGGGTGATCTGCTTTCCCCCACAGTCCAAAGACATGCGGTACAGGTGAATTGGGTAGGCTAAATTGTCCAGTGTATGAGTGTGCATGGATGTTTCCCAGAGATGGGTTGCAGCAGGAAGAGCATCCGCTGCGTAAAACATGTGCTGGATAAGTTGGTGGTTCATTCCGCTGTTGTGACCCCGGATTATTAAAGGGACTAAGCCGAAAATGAATGAATGAATGAATGAATATTGTATAATAATGTTAATAATGACTTATATTAGAACAAATAATTAAAATGTCAGAGGACGGCTAACAATTTTATCTTGAAACATATATACATAACAATAAATAAATAAAATCTTTCAATTTGATATTTTAAATTTGGTAAAGATTCAGGAGAATCTTAAAAACATCCATTAGAATAAATAAATGATCTGTGCTTGTAAACAAAGTATTTCAAGAGTTCACACTTAGCTGATGATTGATAATAAAGCGTGTTTGGCATGCTGTCCTGGGAGAGAGCCCTGAGCTCAGAAGATCCCCGAGCCCAAGGCTCCCTCCCATTTCATCGGGAGAGAGGGAAGTCTGAGCTCAGGTGGGTCTTGAGAACTTGCCCTAATTCATTCGTTCGTTCAGCCCATTCTTCGATTATTAGGGATTGCTACAGTGAAATGAACCACCAATTATACAGCATATGTTTATGTGGTGAATGCCCAGTACTAAAACACTCATATACTGTTCCAATTTGGTTTATTCAATTCATCTATAGAGCATGTCTTTGGACTGTGGGAGGAAACCGGAGTACCCAAAGGAAACCCCCGCAAGTATGGGTAGAACATGTAAACTCTACACAGAAATGCCAACTGGCCCAGCTGGGACTCAAACCAGTCACCTTCTTGTTGTGGTCAATAGGTCAATAGTAAGCTCATGATCCTCTTGAAATTAGTTTAAAAATAAACTTTATAATAACTTGAACAACTTGATAACTTGAATTGCTGCGTCCACACCTCTCGCTCTCATCTGCAGCTTTCTCTGCCTCCTCCAGCTTCTGTAGTGCAGTGGCGAGTCTTTCTTGAGCGCGATCTAACTCCTCCTCAACCAGCTGGATACGTCTGTTCAGAGATGCCACCTCAGCCTCGGCCTGCGGTCAGAGGGAAATCACACAATGAACAACAGGACTGCATGACATGGAGGAACAAATGTGTGATAAATGTGCTGGGTAATGAAGGTGATATGCAATGCTCAGATCTTGAAGGAGGGTCTAAAGCGATTTAGTTCATTCAGATTTATAAACACTCTTAAATAGTTAAATAGACTCTCATGCTCAACTACTCCTACGCCACATGAAAGTGTCTGTTTAAAGAGATTATTCACCAAAAAATGAACAATTATTCACCCTGAAGTGGCTCCAAACCTTTACGAGTTTCTTTCTTCATTTGAACACTAAAGAAGATATTTTGAAGAAAGCTGAAAACCTGTAACCATCGACTTTTCCGTAAGAAAAATTAAAAGCATGGAACTCAAAATATCTGGTAGGCGGGAGATGGGTCTGAAATATGGGAAACTCCTGGGAAAAACGGGAGTGTTGGCAGGTATGTTCTGCTGTGGCGACCCCAGATGAATAAAGGGACTTAGCCTTGCATCTTTAGTAATTTTTTACTATTTTTTTTAAGTAAAAAGGGGCGCAGTAGGTAGTGCTGTCGCCTCACAGCAAGAAGGTCGCTGGGTCGGGCCTCGGCTCAGTTGGCGTTTCTGTGTGGAGTTTGCATGTTCTCTCTGCGTTCGCGTGGGTTTCCTCCGGGTGCTCCGGTTTCCCCCACAGTCCAAAGACATGCGGTACAGGTGAATTAGTTTGGCTTAATTGTCCGTAGTGTATAAGTGTAAGTGTGTGAATGTGTGTGTGGATGGTTGCCAGAGATGGGTTGCGGCTGGAAGGGCATCCGCTGCGTAAAAACTTGCTGGATAAGTTGGTGGTTCATTCCGCTGTAGCGACCCCGATATAATAAAGGGACTAAGCCGACAAGAAAATTAATAAATAAATACACTGTTTTGTTCTAATAGGTGGATTTAGAGGGTTTTGCATAAAAAGCAGAAGTGGATTTAACTGGTTGACGCAAAAGAAAATCTCCTTTGTTAAAAAACAAAGAATTGTTTAAAGTGGCATTTTTGGAAAAAAAAAAAATTTTTTTTTTATTTACTAGCTAATAACCTTTTCATTACATATAAAATTAAATTGGTGAGGCAGTGGCGCAGTAAGTAGTGCTGTCGCCTTACAGCAAGAAGGTCGCTGGGTCAAACCTCGGCTCAGTTGGCGTTTCTGTGTGGAGTTTGCATGTTCTCCACGCCTTTGCGTGGGTTTCCTCCGGGTGCTCTGGTTTCCCCCACAGTCCAAAGACATGCGGTACAGGTGAATTGGGTAGGCTAAATTGTCCGTAGTGTATGAATGCGTGTGTGAATGTGTGTGTGGATGTTTCTCAGAGATGGGTTGCGGCTGGAAGGGCATTCGCTGCGTAAAAACTTGCTGGATAAGTTGGTGGTTCATTCTGCTGTGGCGACCCCAGATTAACAAAGGGACTAAGCCGACAAGAAAATGAATGAATGAATAAATACACCGTCTTGTTCCATTAAGTGGATTTAGAGGGTTTTGCATAAAAAGCAGAAGTGGATTTAACTGGTTGAAGCAAAAGAAAATCTCCTTTGTTAAAAAATAAAGAAATGTTTAAAGTGGCATTTTTGAAAAAAATGATTTTTTTTTGGAAAATTTACTAGCTAATAACCTTTTCATTACATATAAAATGAAATTTCCTAACCAAATTATAAGAGCCTGATAGAAAATGCTCATTTACAAGAAAAAAAGTCTGATGGATTTAAAGGGTTTTGCAAACTCTTCATTTGCTTATTTATTTATTAACATTGTTATAATGTAGCTAAATGAAGCCGATGTTCCCACCAGCCACTGCAGCATTCTGTTTGAAGGCACTGCTGGCGTTAAAGTTTAAAAATGCAAAGTTCACCGTAAAGAGGGCTGAGATCATGGTCTGTTTGTCCAATACTTTAATAGCTAACTACATGCTAGCAACGCAATTACACGGTCAGCCTTTTAAAGGTGGGAACATTTAATAATGTCACCAAGTACACAGTACAATGGACACGAATGAATAGTTTCTCTGTCCTTTAGTTTAAAGATCTCCTCCTCATGTTGAAGAACAATGTGCCTATAGCTTTATTAGCCAACACTGAAAAAGGGCAAGTCTTCTCTCATGCTGATCTTTATAATATAGTAAACCAACAATGTCAGTACGAAGGTGGCCCAATTTGTTTGTAGGTTAAGGCCATGCAGCATCTCCAGCCATTTTCATGGAGAAATCCAGGTTAAGAAAGAGTGACTAAAGAAACAAACGTCAAACTGGTGTCTTACACAGACAAGCACACAAGAGGATTAACCTCTGAGTTAAGATTCTCAGCGTCTACCCTCACATGGACTAATACTGCACTAACACCACATTTAACAGACCATCTGCATCACCCACAATTTCTGTATCTTCATGTCATAAACGGGAAGAGCTTGACTTTGGTGTAAGGGATGTTGCGAGTATATGTGGGTCAACATCCCACATCCAGCCTCAATATAAACTGTAATCCGCTCCTTGTGTCCAGCGCATTAGCTCAAATTCACTTGACAGGTCAGAAGGCTGACATTCACTGACGTTTTACAAACTTGTTTATTACACATCGTTTGCTGTTCTTATATGTGACCCTGGACCACAATACCTGCATGGATATATGTTATTTTATGCTAAAAGCATTTTCTTTATATAAATATATATATATATATATATATATATATATATATATATATATATATATATATATATATATATATATATATATATATATATATATATTATTATTATATATATATATATATTATTATATATATATATTACATTGTTGCTCTTTGCTCTTGGAGCGGTTTGCTTTCACACTGCAGAGTTTCTAAACGCACAAAGAGCTAAAAAAAGGCACGTGTGAGTAAACTCTCCTCACATTGGTCAGAGTTTCACGGTTTATTTTGCAGAGTCCCGCTCAGCTGTCAGGAGGAGGTGGTGGTTTGGTGGTGTTTGACAAGGTGCGCGCGACGTGTCTAATGAGCGAGGAGGGATGCGGTGGGGAAGGGTGAAAAAGGTGCGCATTGTATTTGAGGACCAGGAGGGAGACGCTGATTACCAGGAGATTATCACTCGTTTGCGGGCATCCCGGAGTCTCTGTGCATTTGCGGGAGACTACCGACACTTCCAGGAGACTTGGGATATGCCTGTTGAATAACCTCCCGCCCTACTCATAATTATCTCTTCATATAGCCGTATGCCTATTACATATCCAAAAAACACTGTGATATAACCGTGCTCGGTTCGTATTACTTTCTCGATACAATCGATCCGCTCCAGAGTTCATTTCAATCGAGCCGAGAACACCTCATTCAAGCGATCTCGGAACGATTGTTTTGGAGCGGATCCCAGCGCAATTGGTGGTTTCACATATGCCAAACGAACCGCGCTAACTGGGCAAACGAGACAGGTTCCGAGACAAAAGTGTAGGTGTGAAAGCACCCTAACACAATAAATTATTTTCCAAATAGAGATATTAAGTCATCTGGTTAAATTGTATTCATGTTGCAATATATATTGCAATGTTAGATTTTCCAATATCCTGCAGCCCTACTTGCCATTTCAAACAAAATACATTACCAGAAAGCTTATTTATTCAGCTTCCAGGTGAATAAATCTAAATTCTCAATAATAAATCTCAATTCTCAAAAATAAATCTCAATTCTCCAGCAAAATCACTAAATTTATCTTACGTATTTTCTCTTATGAATGGAACTTGAGATTGACAGGCGAATTGGTGCAGCGGCAGCAGTAATGCGGTTGATCTACCGGTACGTTTAGGTCAGGGGTGTCCAAACTTGCTTCTGGAGGGCCGTTGTCCTGCACAGTTTAGCTCTAACTTCCTTTAACACACCTGCCTGTAAGCTTCTAGTACATCTTGATAGAGCTCGATTAGCTGGTCCAGATGTGTTTAATTGGAGTTTGGACACCCCTGGTTTAGGTAAAGAAGGAGCAGAGAGAAAAAACAAAGCTCTCGATTTACCGGTCAATCTACGTTCCTACTCTCACCTATGGTCATGAGCTTTGAGTCATGACCGAAAGGACAAGATCTCAGATACAAGCAGCCAAAATGAGTTTTCTTCGCAGGGTGCATCCTAATGCTGTGTTCACACAAGAAGCGGTACATGCAGATAAATCACACTATTCGCACATAAACAGACGCGTGAACATTTTGAGTTTACTCGCTTCATTCACGCATCAAATTCGCTTCATTAACACGTCAAATTCACTAAGCAAAAGACGCAGATTCGCATCATGGGCAGGGCTTCTGTCTGCCCGGTGACTGTAGCTTCGTTGCTAAATGGCTAACATGGATTTTATTGAGAAAATAGCTGTGTGTTATGTGCTTTATGAAGGCTGGAAAACAGCGTTGATTTATTTGGAGCCCTGTCTGAGTCCACTAGATTCTTTCAGAGGTGCACCCAGCTCTGTGAGTTCATAAACTCCTCCAGAAACTTAACCTGGATGATGGGAGCTTTCAGTGGTCCTTCTGACTAAGCCCAGCCCAGTTTGATCAACTGTTGTCCGGTGTCAGTAGGAGGATTTTCCCCCGGGACACCAAAAAAAAGGCGCTACATCATAAGCATACTCCTACAAGAGAAAACTCCTGATTGGTTAATGAGAAGCAAATGTCTGCTGAAATTCAGATTTTCGAACTTGAGCGATTCGCGCAAATTGGCTGGCCTGGAAACGCTTTGGGATCCCCCCAGAGGAGCTGGAGGAAGTGTCTGGGGACACGTCGTTGCGACGTGTAGTTACATTTTTTGAGAGGTGCACGTCAGCGACGCCGACGGCCACGGCGAAGGGCTATGCGTCAGCGCCGTAGCATACGCCGGCGTTTGCCCCAGATAAGCGGATGAAAATGACATGACATCTTATCAACTGAGATAAAGTTGGGTTTATATAAGCACATTTATTCAACAGAGACAACATCTCTATATTGTTAGTTAGGCTATTTTAAAGTCAATTTTTTATTTAATTGACTGTGAACAATGTTTTCCTTCAATAGTCATTGGCTGCTAATATGATTTCACCATTTACAATTTGCAATTAATACTTTTCTGAAAGGATAATATTAAGGAGAAAGTCCTAATATAAAAACCAACTTCTTTCTAGAAACCAACGAATCCTTTACGGTTTCGTGGTCTATGGTCCCACATGTCTATGATATCAAGTTAAAGTTGGTTTTATATTCACACATTCATTCATTTAACTGTCTCTATATTGTTTACCACACTAATTTGAATATTCAATCAGAATTAGCATGCAAGTATGGCTTCAAAACAACATCAACACTGTCTAATTGACTGTAAACATGGCTGTACTTTGATAGTCATAAACTGCTAATATGATTTCCCAATTTAGAATTTGCCAAGAATACTTTTCTAAAATTATAATATTACGCAGGATGTCTGAATATCCGAATATAAAACCAGCTTTACCTCTGTCCATGATGAAGTAAACTAAATGCATTTGCTTTAATAAAATTTGAACACCTCACAACAAAACAAAACAAAGAAGATGTCATTTTCCACCCATGGTGAACACAGTTGTCATCTACATCTAATTAGATACATACTAAAGGTCAACCTGACATTTAATGCCATGAGGCCTTCAAAAGCCCCTTTCTTAAATACTCCTGACTGTTTCTGTTTCTTATAAATAAAAGAATCGAAGTGAATAGAGTATGCCTGTAAATAACTAAACTCAGTATCCCACTGAATATCCGAGCCTCAGGGACAGTGCTAAAGGATCCAGCAGGCACTCACTCTCTCTCTGCACTGCCGCTCCAGGTCCACCTCTCTCTGCAGCATTTCTGCCCGATCCTCCGCATCGTCCGCCTGCTGCTGCAGCGTCTGGATCTTCCTCTTCACGGCCTCTATGGAGGTTATCGATGCCATTCCTCCTGAATCCCCAAAAATCGACTATCAATAAATGTCAAACGCGACACGGGACGGACGGTGAAGATGTCGCTGCGTCCCCGTGAACAATCATGCGTTCATCAATAAACACCAACCACAGCAAATACGTCTCAGTTCAGTCTCCTCTTCCAATATTTGCACCTAAAAGCGTGAATTTCTCGTATCTTCAGGAAATGTGCAGAGGACAATAATCTATTCACACAAAGAGCGAAACAAACAGGCGTCGAGCTCGAGTTAACGCTGTATGGACGCCGGTACAACAGATGGCGCCGCGCACCTCTCAGGTGTTCAGAAGCGCAGAAGAAGAAGAAGGAAAGTTCCAGAGCCCCTCCTGCTGTAAAGTCTGCAGAAAACGAACAACCGGGGCTGCTTCTCTATACAAACAACATGTTTCTTGAAATGAAGCAAAAACCGACACCTTCTGTCAGTAGTGAAGTTCATGAACTGATAGGTGAGACATGATGATAAAGCCACGGATGAGTCAAGACACAGGTGAATCCAGAACACCAGTCAAAACACCTGACGAGTCCAAACTTTTAAAGGGATACTTTCGCTAGTAACGTTAGCCTATAAGTATTCCACACAAATATTCTGCTATGATTTACATATTATTTACTTATTGTTTAAATCCGTTATGAGCTTCTTTCGTCTGTTGAATGGAAAAGAAGATATTTTGAAAAATGAAACCTGTAACCGTTGACTTTCATAACATGTTTCCCCCCTACTAGTCACAGGTTCTCAACAGCAGTCATATATCTTCTGTTGTCTTTAACAGGAGAAAAAAATATATGTAAGTTTTAGAACCACTTAATTTACATTTTGGGCGAACTATCCCTTTAATTGGTTCATGGTTAATTATTCATGTAAAGCCTTGTAGTGCAATGTGGTTTGATGTCCAAATCTACTACCTATGTCCATGGTGACCACAAATTAACCATGTTATTTGTAGTAAAACTGTATTAATACAAATGAAAGTCAACAAGCACAAAACTGTCACGCTCAGATATGGCCTCTTTCCCCTCTATGGTAAAGCAGGTTCCATTTCAAGTGAATGAGGAAAGTTTACATGGACAATTCATGACCCGTTGATTTTGACAGAGGGAAAAAAACTGCTTCATGTGTCCAATATGCCCCAGAATGTAGTGCAAATGTCACCACAGTGAAGTTTCCAAGTGCTCAAGTTAGGGCACAGGTGTCAAACTCAGTTCTTGGAAGGCTGCAGCTTGGCACAGTTTAGTTCCAACCCTAATTAAACACACCTGATTGAACTAATTGAGTCCTTCAAACTTGTTTGAATCCTAACAGGTAAAGCTGTGGTCACACTGGGCTTTTCTCCCCGTAGACTTCCATTCTTACGCAAGCGAATGCTTCAGACCGGAAACGCAGGGTCATGCTTCAAGTTTTGCAGGTTGCTGCGGTGCAAAGTTCAAGCTTGGTGAACTCTGACCTGCGAATTTGCATCACTTGACTGCATGAGACCAATGGAGGATCAAAACATGACATCTCTGAAGAAATTTAAAACATAGAGCAATCGCTCACTTTTAAAAGTGTCTAATAAGCGTGTTTAATCCCGCCCCTTTCGCAGCGCCGCACGACAGAATATTGCATGCTCAAACTCTAATGTGACCGCAGCTTCAGTGTGTTGAACCAGGGTTGAAACTAAACTGCAGGGCTGCGGACTAGGCATGGGATGATAACCGTTTTCAAGGTAAACCGCGGTTTGAAAAAGTCAAGGTTTTAAAACCGCCAACATTTTATGCTATACCGTTCCTAAGGTATGTGTAAGAATTTTTTTTTATTTACAAAATTGTTTCAGCTTTTTAGGAAAACAGTATCTCCAGCAGAAAAAAAATATCCAAAGATACTATTTTAAATTGTGAGGAACTCTGTGTTTTTGAAACTAACGAAGAGAGCAGCCCGACATGTTTACTGCTCCAAAATATTTTAAATGTTTCTCAAAATAAAACATATTGTGTTCAAAGGAAAAAAAAAACGTTTTAGTTTTTCCGCAGCGTCTTAAAATAACCTAAATTTTAAAAACTGAATTTAAGGCCTTAAAAAAATTTACTGAAATATGCTGTTGTGGGTCTTAAATACTTTTAAACAGGTCATCATTTTCACTATTTGCCAATGTCAATCAGAACAACCAACATATCCATCTAAAAAAAAGAAATGTTTAACAAAGTTAACATTTATTAACTATTTAGCAATATGGGTTAATTGTCTTCCTTTCATCCTTACATTACATTTGCTTAAAAGTTCTCCATGTTTTCATGTTTTATATATAAATATATGTTGTAATGTATTATAGCTTTTAAAACTTTGAGACATTCTGATTGTCTTTAATTGAATTGATTAGAAGACTTTTAGATTGGTATCTCATTGTGAGTTTCGATTAAATAAATGACATCAAAAATTACAGTTTTTTTTATATAGCATTTTAAAATAATTTAGAAGTGAAAGGTGTAGTTATCTTCAAAATAAATATTAACCTTGATTTAGACCTCAGATGTCTGAAAATATTTTATTGAACATTTGGAAGCAAAATTACATAATAAATATTTAAGTAGAGTATATTTAGTATATAACTAGAGTTTGCTTGTTTTGACACATTATTTATCATATGTGGCTAAGAAATAACTGCATTTTAATTTTAATTGGGCAAATAAAAAAGTTCCACTGGTTATTACAGAAAATTATTAGTGTTTTGCCTTGTGAAAGTCTGAAATTTCACTGATAATGGTCCAAAAAAGGTCTTAAAAAGTCTTAAATTTGACGTGATGCAACCTGCAGAAACCCTGTTTACCCAGACATTTAAAAAGAGTATATTTTAGAGCAGTAATCACAATACCGTCGAACCATAAAACCGTGATATTTTTATCCAAGGTTATCATACAGTAAGACTCTTATAGCGACCCATGCCAACTGCAAACAGCCCTGCTTTAGGAGATTCCATTTAAACCCAGTCAGATGTTCTGCCAGTAGTGGACACTTGTATAAAGTAGTCAATGATGTAAAGACTAGGATCTTCATTCATAAAACTTTGCTTTGAAACTTTCCTAAAAATTAACATACGCCAGACTGCTGAAAATGGTGCATACAAAAAAAAAGAGAAAGATTTTTGAAACCTTGCGTACACTCATCCGCACACATTTTCAGCTTTATAAATTATCACAGTCTACCTGAGAATATGCGTACGTGGAAAAGTCTTACATTTACTCACCCACTTTCAACTATATTTAGTCAATGCAGACGACCTTGTGACCTCCAATGCACATTAAATGACCAATTTAATAGTGTTTGCACAGGCATGTCAAAATGCAAACATTATCTCAAAAACAAAAGTAAAGGTTGAGTAATGCTGAGGAGAAAAATAAAGTTTTGTAACAAATATTGTTTTCCTTATGAAAATAATGATTATATTTGGAATTTACATTTGTAGCCACAGCAGTGTCGTTTAAAGAAAGAAAATTCGAATGGCAACATCTCATGCTGCAAATAAGCAAATGGTTCAATATCAAAATGGGTGCATTAGGGATAAATCATAATATAATTAATCAAAACATTCTTTTTAAAAATTCAATTCTTTAATTTATATTTTATTTTACTTTTTGTCATGCTAATGTTGCAAAGCTGTTAAATAGCATAGGCTTACATAAAAATAAAAATGTCCAAATTAGAAAAGAATACAATAGACTCTTTACTTCGACTGAAGCCCCTGGTTACTACAATGTTACTATAAGTATGTAAAAGATGGTTCATTTTTATGGGTGTAAAGCTGAGGTCACACTGGACTTTTCTCCCCATAGACTTCCATTCATACGCACACGAATGCGTCAGACCGAAAACACAAGGTCGTGTGCCAAGTTTTGCAGTTCGCTGCATTGGAAGGTACAAGCTTGGTGAACTCTGACCTGCGAAATCACATCACGTGATTGCGTGAAACCACTTGAGGATCAAAACATGACCTCTCTGGACAGGAATTTAAAATATGGAGCAATCACTCGCTTGTTTTAATGTCTAATCATCTTGTTTATTCCTGCCTCTGTTCGCAGTGCGGTACGACAGAATTTGGAAAGCTCTTGTGTGACTGCAGCTTAACACTAAAGTGGACCAATACAATATAAATGGAATTGGTTGCACAAAATTGGGCATTTAGAAAAAATCATGAATTCATAATTTTTTAAAAGGGATAGTTTACCCCAAAATAAAAATGATGTAATTTACACCACCTCCACTTGTTCTAAATTTTTTTGAGATCTTTTTTTCTGTTAAACACAGAAGATATTTAGAATAATGTTGGAAAGCAGCAGCCATTTACTTCCATATTATTTTATCACATGGATGTCATTGGCTGCTTTTTCCAACATTGTTCAGAGTATCTTGTTTTGTCTTTTTAAAAAAAAAGAATCAATTGAAGAAATTCAAAAAAGTTTAGAACCACTTGTGTGTGAGGAAATCTTTATTTTTGGTAACCCATCCCTTTAATTTATTCTTGGAATGAACGAAATATATATATATATATATATATATATATATATATATATATATATATATATATATATATATATATATATATAATAATAGAATATGGTCACATGATCTCAGTGAAGAAAAAAAAGCAAAAGCTCAAAACCTAATTTGGTGAGGATGTTGAAGTTTATATGACTAAAACCTAAGATCAAATTTTTATATTGTATTTGATATTCACATTTTAACCCTCACTCTTCAACTTTTTAAATTGTTTTATTACAATAAAGGTAAAAAAGCAAAAAATACATCTTACATTTTATTATAAAGTTCTTACATTTACTACATCAAGAAAGGTTTCACTCTAAAAAAGTGAAGGTTGGTATTTTTACAATTGTGAAAATTCACACAAGAGCGATGCAATTACAAATGTTTTCTGTTTTCCTGTAGGAGGTGCACTATTTCCTCTCCTGTGCACCAGAGACTTTCTTATCAACACTCCATGTTTCTGGAAAAAAACAACTTGCAATTCTTAGTGTGCTTCCCACAGGTGAGTGAATTTGACAAACCAGCTGTATGAAAAAATCTCTTGTCTCCATATGCACCAGACACTTTCTTATAAGCACCCCACACTTCTTGGAAAATATTGTGCAATTTTCAGTGTGCTCCACACTGGTAAGTGGGCTTGACAAACCACCTGTCCGACACTCTCCTCGTATAATCAGAGGGACAAAAACTAATAAAACAGCAACAAAAATAAATAAAGAAAAGAAAACAAAAA